TTTTTTTTTTTTTTTTTTTTTTTTTTTTTTTTTTTTTTTTTTTTTTTTGAGACAGGGTCTCATGTGTAGCCCTGGCTGTCCTGGAACTCATTCTGTAGACCAGGCTGGCCTCAAACTCATAGAGATCCAACTACATCTGCCTCCTGAGTGCTGGGATTAAAGGCATGTGCCACCACCGCCGATTTGTTTTTGTATTTTGAGACAGTCTTTCAGTTGCCTGTTACTCACCGATTAGCCTACCTTGGCTGGTGTCAGAGACCAGCTTTCAAAAAAAAAAAAATACCATTTAACAGGGTAGAGCCATGGGGATTAGAAAAATAGTAAAGAGAACAAAGACGCAAGTGGAAATAATAGAAACAGGAGGGAGTTCCAGTGAGTACTGAAATCCACCTGCGGTTAACTTCCATTTGCTTAAATACCTCGGCCCAAAGATAGGAGTAAGATAAAAAAACTGCATTGACGCGATACAAGGAAATGAACACACCAGTTGAAGGTTGTGGGCTACATTCTTAGTTAAACATTCTGTTGCTAGAACAAAACAAGTCATGATCACACCCTTGACCAAAACAATCTGTAGGCAAACCACTCCCTGGGTGAAATCCATTGTTATCTCCCTAAAGGAGTAGGAATTTAGTAGTAACCTTAGACTTTTGTTTGGGGTAGAAACATTTCTTCTCTATTCCTGAAATATAAGGTCTGGACATTAGCCACACCTGTTAACAATAAGCTCCGACTCTCTGATCTAAATCCAAGTGGGACCTTTGTTTGAGGTAAAAACAGATGATAACCTTGAAGGAACAGGAGTAACCTCCAGCTCTCTGACCTTCAGACAAGGTGGAGATAGTTTAGCGCCTCCACAGGCTCTGACTCCACAGTACTGGAGTACAAGCGTTCACTACCATAGTCAGCTTTTTCCCAGAGGTTCTGGGGGTTCTAAGGTCCTAGGGCTCACACAGCAACTGAGCTCTCTCTAGCCCATTAAAAGACACCCCCCTCCCACCAGGTGCAAGGCAGGACCTTGACTCAAATACAAAACAAAACGAACACCTTGAAAAGCTTTTGTACCCCGATATTGGGTCTCTGCAGATGTAGTAAATCAAATCAAGCCAAATTAATAAGTCCAGGTTTAATGAACAAAGCAACTCCAGGGTGGTCTGGTGGAAGAGGAGAAACTACAGGGAGAACCACGTGGCAGATGGGGGGAGGGGGGGGGGGAGAGAGAGAGAGAGAGAGAGAGAGAGAGAGAGAGAGAGAGAGAGAGAGAGAGAGAGAGAGAATGCATTAAATAGCCTGTAGGCGTGGTCTTGAGCATCTCAGTGGAGAAGCCGCCAATGGCAGGCTTTCTCAGGGGCAGGATCTGGAATGGGAGGAGCGGGACCGGGTGGAGCGTCCCAACACACCTGGCAAAGATTTATTCGCTCTTTCACAGGGAGCCAGGGAGTTATTAGAACTAGTGTAAGGGCAAAAACTCAGGGAGCACCACATGTGTGGGCAATCAATCGGGAAAGCGGAGATGATTCTGCTCATCAGATGAAAGGCTGGCTTCTCTCCCAGAGCGGAAGGGGAAATCGCCTGCACTCTGCTGCCTTCGTTTTCATATCCGAGAGGAATCATGGTCCGGCGGCTAGTTTCTCATAAGCTACAGTGTGAAGCCCTCAAAGACAATGAAAACTGCAAAGACCCCATCCAATCTCTAGATTCTCTTTCTGAAAGAGGGTTCTGCCATGCGGCCCAGGCTGGCATTGATTCATGATCCCTCTGCCCCTGCCTTCTGGGTGCTGGGATAACAGTCATTCACCACGGTCACACCTGGTCTCTGTGACCTGTCTTCCACACTCTCTCCCGTAGAGGTGTGGGCTACAATTACGTCTTGCTCTATGGAACCCTCTTGTAGACAGGTCACAGCATCAGACAGCTGGAGCTGTCTTTCCTGTCCCTGCTGGCATGCCCAGTGAAGTGGGCTGCACTGGCCTCTGGGTGGAAATGCAGCAAAGTCTGTGGTTTTTATGACCACTTTTTTAAAAAAATTATTCCCCTCCCCATACCCTCTCTCCTCCCTCCCTCTTTGCCCTCCCCTTTCCTCTCCCTCTCCGGTTCTCCCCTCCACCCCACCCCCACCTATACCCCCCCCACCTCCCCCAGCTCCAGGCTGAGCACCATTGCAGCAGGCTTAGAGAGAAGGTTGCAGAGAAACTGCTGCTCAGCTCTGGTCTGACTGAGCGGTCACTGCTTTCCTGTCTTTCCCTCAGGTACTCATGGGGAATCACCTGCTTCTGCAACCTGTGGTTCTGGCAGAGGGGAGAATGGGGGCACTAGCAGTTCTATAGGGGCAGCCATGTCCCTACTCTCCAGCTGGATGACCCTGTAACAAAGTCCTTGATGTGAGGCAGGAGGCCAGTTTCTAGCAGTGCCTGTGAATGGCTCTGCCTCCAGAGTCCATGTCCCACCACGTCATAGTCTCCTGTCCTTCCAGTATGATTGTAACACCCCCCTTCTCTCCTCTTCTCTCCCTCTCTTTCCCAAGGGAAAAGGGGTCCTTATTGGGAATGGAATACAGGACATGCAACATGCTAGGCAAGGCACCCACCACTGAGCCATCCCCCTAGTTCTCTTTTTAAATAGGTTCCTCTGTGACTTTCCCACAGGGCACCACAGCAATCACATCAAGAGGAGACTGGGCAATGGACTTGTTAGTGCAGAAGGGGAGACTATGTGGTTACAGGTCCCTGGGGCTGCATCTGCTAACTGAGCTGCTGGGCAGAAAGTCTGCTGAGTGTCCAGCAAGGGATTTCTTCTTGCCCCGGACCTCAAGAGCTGGTCTGCCCACTTGCGGCTCATTCCTGAGCCTCATGGAGGTGTGTACATCCCAGTTCCTCTCCTGGAGTTCAGCAGTGGGCAGAATAATGGTTCATATTTTACTCGATAGTGTGGGGTGAATCAAGGTGGGATCTCATGGGGTTCCACGTCTTCTGCCTGGTGCACCCCCATCCTGTATGTCATAGTCAAGCCAACACATCAGTTCTAGTTCAGCCACAGAGTTTATTGAGGTGACCCCAGCCTGCCTCTACTCCTCTTTCTCATCCCCGTGGGTGATGATATAGCAGAGGGACTTGTAGTCGATGTTGCCTGCCAGGTCCATGGGTGTCAGGGCAAACAGCTGCTCCACCTGTCGGAGGTACCACGCAGAGATAGGGCCTAACGATGCCCTGTCCCAAGAGCTGTCCTTTGGGACTAAGCTTTTTCAACCCCAAACAGCAATTTAGATGTTTTGTCTGTTGATGGACAGACTAGTAATTGGGCCCGAATGGGGGAGAGGTCAAAGGCTCACCTGACCACAAAGACAAGCCCGCCCTCTTCCGAGTCTGGGTCTTAACACAGGTAGAGTCTCTTCTGGGAAGACCTTGCCACCCCTTAGCTTACACCGCATAGGATCTGGGTTCTGAGCCCTGTGGGCGCTGGGTCATGAGGCCTTCCCTGTGCTAGGGTGGCAATGCCAGGAACAGGTGCAGATGGGGCCAGGGTGTCTCACCTCAGCAGGAGAGAACTTGTCTGCCTGGGTCAGGAGAAGCTGCTTGAACCTGAGGAAAGAGAAGGCTGGAGCTGGGAGGGAGAGTGGCGAGGGCCCGGGGAGACACACAGAGGACCAGAGGACCAGAGGACCTGCCTCACCGCGCTGCCCTCTTGTTTCCCTGTGGTGCCCACCCTGGGGGACGGAGGATCCTCACTTACTCATCCTTGTTCACCACCCCCTGGCCGCTGGGGTCAAACATTCGGAAAGCGCCCAGGATGGCTTCCTCAGGGTCTGTCCCTGTGGGTGGAGGCAGCCAGGTGAACTGTCAGATTCCCAGGCTCTAGGCCCCACCCAGAAAGAACTCATACTACCAGGGAGCTAGGATCTTTCCTGGAGGGTGTTGATGGAGGCCACAAGCGAGGACCTGAAACCCCACAAAGTGTTTTTTGAGGCTGGGAGATCAGAATCGGGCTTTGGAAATGACATTTTCTGAGCCCAAGTGAGCCCAGGATGCTCCCCACACTCTGGGTCTCCCATGGCCAGGCAGGCTCCACAAGTTTCAGGGGAGTTCAGGTGAACCTTACATGGGTTCAGGGGTCAGGTGAGGTCAGTTTGCTCACTTCAGGAGATTCAGACGTGATGGCCACTCACCGTTGAGTTTCTCCCCGAAGAGCGTGAGGAAGACGGTGAAGTTGATGGGGCCCTTCCCTTCCTGCAGCATGGCTTCCAGCTCCTCCTCTGGGACACTTACCCGACCTGAGAGGATAGGACAGAAGGTGACCCAGGCTGCCCTCCCCTGCTTTCTGGGCGGTGAGGTGAGAGGCAGGGGCAACTCCAGCTGTGGGGCCGGTGGGGGATGGGGAACATGTGAGGGCAGGGGACTGTCCTCCCTCCGAGCAGGCCCCTGAGGAGGCTGAGATGGGTCCCCAGGAGGTGGACCGTGCATCCACTCACCGAGCTGGGAGTAGGTCTCCTTCAGGTCTGACTTGCAGATGATGCCGTCGCGATTCTGGTCAATGCAGCTGAAGGCCTGTGAGGAGAGCCTTCAGGAGGGAGCTACTACCCCCTCTCTTCCAGGGGAGGCAGAGGTAAGGGAGAGCCTTGGGTGGTGAGGAGCAGGTGCGGGGGGGGGGTATAGGGAACCTCCGACCCTCAGAGAAGAGAGGCATGGAGTGAGAGGCTGCTGGAGGTACGGTACTCACTTCTTTGAATTCCTGAATCTGGGCTTGTTCGAACATTGAGAAGACATTGGAAGAGCCACGTTGGGCCTGCTTGGTGGCCGCGGCCTTGCCCCGGGTCCCAGCCTTCCTGCTGGCCTGTAATACTGATGGTGACAGGCGCCCCCTCGCCGGTCCTCCAGAGTCCCCCCTCCCTACCACTTGTCGCCCCAGGGCACAACCAGGAGTGCCAGGCTGAGGGGCCTTTCTCCAGCCCTAGAGGTCACTTCCCTGAGCCCCCATAGGCACAGAAGTCCCTGGCTCTGCCCTTCTGCAGAGCAGAGACTGGCACCTGGGCGTGTCTGGTCTCCTGTTCCCCGCCAGGCACTTACCATGATCTGCAGTGGTCTGGCTGTGTGATCTTGTCACCCGGCTCTTTATGTCTCAGCCTTATCGCCCAGAGGCCCAAATAAGGAGAGGAAACAGGCTAAACTTGGAAGCCCCCGCTGGTAGAGGAAGACCAGGGCCCCAAGCAGAGCCCATTCACATTCCTGGCGACCTTCAAGCTCCCAAGTGTAACATCCTAGGATCCATTGGCCCTTGCGACCAGGCTCTTCCCTGGGCAGAGAGGATCAAAGCTTCTCCTGCCTCTGGTCATGTTGAGGGGTCCCTGGGGCCCCTCGTCCACCATCTTTCCTGCAAGCCCAGGCTGGCCCTTCACCAGCCTCATCCTCACTCTTTGGACTGAGGAAGCAGTGCCTGTTCCGAGGCTGGTCAATGGTCTGAATCCTCTGGGTTGGATGAAACCCTGAGCACTGGCCTGCTGTCCAGATGACGACAGACAGACAGCAGTTCTGAGCAGGCTGTGTGCCTCTCGGAGCCATTTACTTGGTCTGGGGTAACTCAGGAGTGACAGATCCATGACTGCTCTCCTCATGGTCACACCTGTGCTGGTGTTTGAGCCTGCCCTGCTTAGATGCTTGTCCTCACTCTCTCTGGAATCTTGTTCATTAAGGTCCATCTCAACTTCACCCCTTCTTCAGAAAACTCACCCTGACATTCCCAGCTGAGAGCTGTCACCTACTCCTGAACGCACGTCTGGAATCCAGAGAGCCTGGCACAGGGCAGGCCTGTGTGAGGTTGTACAGGGAAGCTTTGGAGCACAGGGCCTCCCCAGGGTTCCTGTGAAAGTGGCTCACAGAGTCCATCTAGTGGTTCTGAATTCCTGACGAAGGGGGCTCCCATTCCAAGCAGTAACACTGTCAACTTCTTGAGGACCCTAGTCTGGCAGAAGAGTGGGAGAAGCCGGACGGACAAGCTTGGGGGCTGCATGAGCAGGCCTCTGGCTGGGATCAGTGTTCATCCTCACCCCAAGGTGTCTGTGCAAGGTGGGTTGGGAGAATGTGGGTTCCCCCTGTCAGGCCCCAAGTCCCACCCACAGTCCTTCAGTTTGTGGTAGGGTTAGCTATGTAGCCAGGGCTAGCCTGGATTCCAAGCCTGACCAGCACACATGGCTTCAAGGCCTCCTTTTGCATGAGAATTCTATAACGAACGCCTCCTTTGCTATCTGAAAATGAAGTTCATTCGTTCAAATTAGATGTGCAAAGAAACAGTACAATGGCTCAGATTCCAGGTTTCCTGAGACACGAAAGAAGATGACAAAAGATGGGGATCTATATTAAAGATCTGTTCACATTTGAGTGCGTTCCTCAGATACATCCTGATGCTTGCATCAGTTCAAGAAAGTGGAGATGATCCGGAGCAATTCTACAGGAAACTGCCAGAAAGTCAAGATCTCAAGGAAGATGGGCCTTTCCCCAAAACTACCAATTTCGTGGGTTTTCTTTTCTTCCTTTTTTTTCTGAATAAAACAGAGGACGATTGCTTTTGGCCTCTCGGGTAGTTCCACGGAGAAATAAATGTGCACTAAAATCCCACGAGTCTGTGCTTACCTGCAGGTGTTTGTGCTGCAGAGAAAGGCATTTCAGAGTTCTCCTCTGCAGGGACCTTGGAAATCTGTGACATCACATAACCCTGGCCCTTACCCGCTGCTGCTTCCTCCGTGGTTCTGAGGAGGCAGAATGCTGCTGAGACCAACCCACAGCTGAGCCAGCCCCCACCCCAACCAGAGCAGCATCGGGCCTGGCATTCCCACATTCTATCTTTCACGTGTTGTAGGGGCAACCAGGGCTATCCAGTGCCCGCAGTGTCCCCATGTCACCTCATTCGCGTTCCTAAGGTCGACCTGGGCATAGTGTCTGGAGGGCACAATGAATTCTGAGACACAACCCAGTTTAGGGAGTACCTGTGCACACCAGAGATGCTTCTTTGTATACCATCACCACGATCCTTACAACCCTTAGCACAGAGGTCAAAGAGCAATGGACAGGCATGTTTAAGTGTTTTTAAATATTTAATTAAAAACTCCCCCACAGTCCCAGGTTGGTACAGAGAGGGTGGCATGGTATTTGGGGAGGACGAGGAAGAGGGGCCTGGGAGGTCTCTTAGAGGGATGCTTTGTCCTTCTGGATCAGGGATGTGAGTGTTGAAGATGCCATCCTGCTTGAAGGAGGAGGAGCTCCTGATAGAGCAAGAGAGGCCTCCCCTTTCTGGTCCCCTTAGGGTAGGAACTCCGGAGCTCTATCATCCAGCATCTCCTGGGAGGGTTCATTCCAGAACCGTAAGTCACTCTGGGGCAGAGGTATATGAAGGAAACAGTCTCTTTGGGGTGCTTGTGGCCTGGAAAGTCCCCTCGATGCAGCTGGACAGTCAGTCTTCCATAACTCTCCAGTTTCTTTGGTCACAGGCAAGAAAACAGCCAGGCTGGGTGATCAGCAGCCCTTGCTCTCCTGGGAGTCTAGGTCTGATCTGGCCAAGCTGCTGGAGCTACCTCCCCGTGCAGGGTGTGTTCCCAGGGAAGTCAGACCATTGCAAGGTCTGGGAGGCTAGGCCCACAGTTGTGAGAGGCAAGAAGTGTGAAAATGCAAGTCCTGAGTGTGTAAGGCCTTTCTCTGCAGTTGATTAAAACAAGAAAGACTTTGGTGCCTCTGATCCTCTTCCTCCTCCCAGCCCCCTGCCCCCTGCCCCA